GAGAAGTTAAATTTAACACTATTGAGACACCCTATGCCATATAAATTGCAATGGTTAAACGAAAGTGGAGAAGTTAGGGTTAATCGAAGGGTGTTAATTATTCTCTTATTTGGAAGTTACCAAGATGAGGTAATGTGTGATACAGTACCAATACAAGCAGGACATATTTTGTTGGAGAGACCTTGGCAATATGATAGGAAAGCTATGCATGATGGGTACAAGAATCTCTATAGTTTCGTTGAGGACGGGAGGACCATTACTCTTGTGCCATTAACATCGATACAAGTATACGAGAACCAAATCAAGTTGAGTAATGAGGAAGAGAGAAGAGTAAAAGAGCTAGAGAAAAGGAGAGAAAACAGTGAGGTCATGAGTAAGAGAGAAAATGATGAGGTGGCTACTAGAGAGAGAAGCCATAAGAGAGAAAAGACAAAGAGTCGTCCGAGAGAAAAGAAAAATCAAGAGCGAATTTTTTTGCAAAAGGGAGTGAATTGAGGAGAGCGGTAGTTGAGAGAAAAGAGATGATCGTGTTCTTGTATAAAAAATCACTCCTCAATTTTGAGGAAACTAACCCACCCTTCCCTAGTTTAGCTAAGTCTTTATAGAAAGAATTCAAAGATATATTCCCAGAGGACATGCCTAGTAGGTTACCACCCATTCGAGGCATTGATCATCAGATTGACTTTACACCTAGAGCTGTCATTCCAAATTGACCAACTTATCGAAACAATCCCGTGGAGATAATGAAACTTCAGAGGTAGGTAGAAGAGTTGATGAACAAAGGTTATGTAAGGGAGAGCATGAACCCACGTATCGTACCAGTATTGCTTATGCCAAAGAAAGATGGGTTATGAAAAATGTGCGTGGAATTGATAATGCAACGAAAATAGATATGTCCAATAAAAAAGTTTCACTGCAATTATAGCACAAAGAATGATAAGCTGATTCAACAGAAGCAAGTACTCAATTAGAACAATTAAGAGCAAGTAATCCTGATTTTTAGTACAAGCAATGTTACCCCTTCGCGATGACCACAACCCTGCTATCATTCCACACGGTGACACGCATATACTGAAAATTAAACAGGTTAAGTCAATATACCAAGCGGACCTATCTGAGTCCGTAAAATCGAAAGATGCGAATTTGCTGCTTTAGGGCCACCACTATTCGTCCTAAAGATTCAGCAAATGTATTTCAATGCAGCTTTCCAATCGATCGCAGAACGAACTTTCAGGGGCAAAATTGTCTAAGTTTTCCTACATGACTTGAAACACTAAACAAACGATATCATTACGTTTAGGAGATCAAAATAAGTATTCTACCTGAAAAAAGCTCGCTGGAAGGTTGCCACACACACCGTCGCTACACGCCCTACCACGTGAGGTGCCTCACTCTGCTAAGTATGGATCCAGCCTCCATTCATCCAATAGAGGTCTCATTTGGCTGGAATTTGGAGTTTTCATATTCAGGTTCAAAAGTAAATCGCTCATCTCCTCACGGTTTTGATCGAATTTTCTTCTCCAGGCTCTGATACCATTTGTAGAGTCACCAATTGCCAACCACTAAGTTTTTATAGGCTTAGTTTACAAATCCAAATCAACACCACAAACCAAACAACCCAAGAACACCTCAAAGTCTCCACCTACGATTGCTAGAGATTTACTCACTTAGAGAGCACCACAAAGGCAGGGTGGAGAGGAAGACAAAAAACAACAGAAAGGACAGCATGCAAGGACGCCCAAGAATACTACAAGTCTTGTGAGGTCAAGAATAATACAAGAATATATAGGTACCCAATTGCACGAGAATGGTAAGTCCATTAGGTTAAGCTAATGGGTCATGGGCCTAATAGGTATTAATTGATTGTAGAATGGACCTCTAGTAATACTATCCATCCAAGTAGGTAAATAATCGACCCACGAGCAACTCAACTTAATTGGTCGCTTCAAATGGTCCAATTAACTTCTTGGGTCGGGTCGTTTTAATTTGGGTTTTGATATATCGCTTAGTCATACGGTCAAAGCCGACTAAGAAATTAAACCATATTAATATCATCGCCCGAGATAGTTTAACAACAATTTATCTAATAGTTATAATCTTTGGAATTGTGTTTTTTTGGAAAAGTTGTAGTTAAAAAAGAATGAAAAGCTTTTTGTTTATGTATAATACTATTTTATTGAAAAACGTGTGATTAAAAAGAAGAGGGAAAAAATGAATTATAAATTTAATGGGACTCGAATGGGGCTTATACGCCTGCAACTTAAATACAATAAAGAAAGAAACTCAAAAAGAAACAATTGGATTGCATAAAGGTAGAGTAGAGCTCTTTTTGTAAGAATGAGAATAAAAAATATAGTCGTTATAAGATTCACACAAGAGATGAAAAATCAAATATGATGACTTAATGTGATGAATAACGATCATATTTTTTATTTTCGTGGTCAAAGAATGGGTACCAAATATTGGCAAAATATATCATTTCAAATCTTCATCTAGTGGCGTAGGAAACATCTTTTTTCCACAATATTTGTGCCTTTGTCGGCCATAAACCGTGTAAGGTTCTACATTTATCCACATATTATATATATATCACAAAAGCAAAAGTTGTGTTTTCATATCCCTACATTCACCTTTGGATCCAATTCTTTACTTTCTTTTTTGAAAAGAAACTAATTTTGCTAAAGAAATCTAAATTAAGAGAATATTAGAGTTCCTTGGTATCGACTTGTTTAGATGACCAAGCAAGAATCCATCAAATACCGTAGCAAAAATGAGTACGTCAAGATACAATTATTATCTTCATTGAGACTTCAAATTTCAAAAATCTTTTAGCGGTAGGTATTGCCAACGAAATGAATGAGCAAAATATAATTTATTAAAAAGAAGATTTAGGGACCTATTACATGTAGATCTTTCGATAATAAATTTTGTTAAAAGTAATATTTTTTGAGAATGTATATTTAAAAAGTAGGAACAAATTATGGATTAACGTATAAAATTATTTTATTGGAAGAATGTGTAGCTAAAAATAAATTTTAAGGAATTTGTACCGACAGGGTTTATTTCAAATGAATTAACTTATTTTTCAACCATAATCACTCATATTTTTTGAGTTGCCAATGTTGCAAGACAGCCTAGAGAAACAAGATTCAAAATGAAGTGATATTATGAAAATGAATGGTCATGATTGAAAAGCACATGCTTAAACTTTTTCCCGGGAGAAAAGCAAAGGAAAAGAATCTACAAATCAGTCTGGGCTGGCCCATCAGGAGCGTGACTTGCGGCCCAATTTTAATTTTTCAAAAAGAACCGGCAATAAATATTTGCTTTAATAATTGATGCATATCCGAATCGGATGACGTCATATAAAAGATTTCTCATTCATTTATTGGTGAATAAAGCTACTCAAACTGGGAAAATTGACAGAGTTTGGTGACACCATGGTGACAAAACACCTGTTTGGCTAGTTTTTTTTCTAACTGTCAAATAAAAAAAAAGTAACATATGTTTTCCTATTTTAAATTCTGTCATTGAACCTCTTCATGTAGCTGTGGTCTTGGTTGGTTGCACTGCCTTTGATGACATCATCCGATCAAGGTTGTCTCCGTATTGTTGATGTGGTCACACATTTTCACTCGCATACATATTCGAGGCTAATGACTATATTCTCTATTATAGATATAACCTATTCAGGTTTGCTTGATCAAATATCTGAAGGGATTTTTAGATATCTGTTTGTTCAAAATTGATGATCGATTGAATAGACTCTAACCCAAAAAATGTAGTTGTTGAGATTGGCTTTCGATATAAATAGTTGCTACGTCAAATGAAGTACTAGGTAAACATGGGATGTTAGAAGGTTAGTTTCAAATAATATTGTTTTTAAGGAAAGAAATAGAATTGTGCAAGCAAAGACTTTCTAGTTTCACTAAATCAACGGATAAAATAATGAGAAAGTCAAAGCCTAATTTCCATTGTTTTAATAATCTAAAAATTAACACCTAATTTTAGTCGTCGTACATAGTATTTTATCGAAATGGAAAACATTTCTGCATGTATTTTTTATAAGTATTTTTCTCCTTTTTAGCCAAAACTTTATTTTTCCGTTATACATTGAACTACACCTCCTTTCCATGGTTGTTGGGACAATACCCACTTTACTTTTATGCCTCCTATTTCAAGCCGCAATTGTTGGTTATTTAAAGAGGAAACAAATACCCCATTTTGTAAATTTTCAATAATAACTTACAACTTGGAGATTATTAAAAAAATTAAAAATTAAATCGAATTCAATTTTATAACTAGTGTTGAGCAAAATCAACGGATCGATTTGGTCCCATTTTGTTTTGTTTAGAATAAAATCAGAAAAATACATCCTTTTATTGAGGACTTTGTTTCGACGTGTTTAATCCTAAATTAAGGGTCAATTTTATAAGGCTCTTTTGTTTTTGTTTCTTGTAGAAAAGCTTAGAATTACTTTGGGATAGCTTTTGTTTTTATTTTTAGTTCCTATAGGAGAGTTTTTATAGGAAATTACATTAATTTTTGCTTGAAAACTAATTTGAAAACATAAAACTTTTTTATTCTAGAAGTGTTTTTAAAGGAAATCATATTGGACCAACTTCTTTTAAAAACTCTTCTAACTTAAAAAAAAAAAAAAAAAAAAAAAAAAAAAAAAAAAAAAACTTTTAAAAAAAAAAAAAAAAAAAAAACCCCTTGGGGGGGGGGGGGGGCGTCAATTAGGCTAGCCCTGTCTAACAGAATTATCCTAATTATTGATGTATGTAATTAATGTTTCCAATATTATGTTGGTAGTGGGGTATAATTTGGTCAATATCACATGTTAAATACTTTAAAATTGGCCTCAAATTACAACATTACCAGCGCATTCCCGTTTTGATTTGCTGTAAATCGAATGGTAATTTCCCGGATTACCCTTCCCCGGGTGCCTTCTTCCTTCTCTAGAAAATACCTTCGCGTATAAATCAAGAAACCCTACATATACATACACACCCATTCTCTCTCTCTCTCCATCCCCAAAATTTGGTATATATATCGCCCTCTTCTCTTTGTGAATCCCTCTTCATCTTCTTCATTCAATTCACATGTATTGCAGAATTGGATAGGATGAGCAATATACCTAAATCCTTAACAGATTCTTCTTTAACCCGTTTCATACTCGCCATATCGGCTTCAGATCCTTGGCCCTTTTCTGCTGTGTTCTTGTAATATTTCTTCTTGATTTGTATATACACAAAAATAAGGGTTCTCTTTTAATTTATTTTCTGTTGTTTGATATGGGTAGTGGAGAGAAAAGTAGTCATCATCTGAATTTTCATCTACACATGCCGCACATCCACTTTCACCACCACGGGCACGGCCACGGCGGTGGAAAGAAGGAACTGAGGAACGTACCAAAAGGGTGCCTAGCAATCACGGTGGGGCAAGGGGCGGAGCAACAGAGGTTTATTATTCCGGTGATATACATTAACCACCCACTTTTCATGCAGTTGCTTAAGGCAGCGGAGGAGGAATATGGATTTGATCAGAAAGGTCCGATTAATATTCCGTGTCATGTGGAGGAATTCCGCCATGTTCACGCCAAAATTGATGAGGAAAACTCCCACCAGCAGCACCAGAACCACCATTACCACCATCACCGCCACCATCAGTTCTTGTGCTTCGGGGCTTGAAAATTGAAATCTCTAGAGGGTTAACGTAATTTGATAAGATGATTCGATCCTGAAATGTAAATCCGTAGTATTTACTATATTATGAAATTTTTGTAATCCTATTTTGGATTTTAAATAAATTCGAAGGATTAATAAACCTTGATATTCTTGTTATAATCCGTTTCTTCATTTTAGAATATGAAACAAAAATGTAAACTATGATTAATTAATAATTTTTATTGCTTAATCTTAAATCTCAACAAACATTAATTATGTGTTGATAGCTTTATTGCATTTGGTCAAGCTATTCAACCTTCTACTTCCGAAGGAACTTCGTTAAATTGTAATTTTTGTTGGAGAATGACTTGTACACAACGTATTAAGCGATCATTCGATAATATTTTGTTAAAAAATTATTAACTTCAGTATTAACCATTTATGCCATCAATTTTTGTCAAAATTTGTTAAAAAAATTTCAATAGAAACTTTGTAGAAGATCACCTAATTATTAGAGAAGGAAAAAATACAGATAAAATGTCATATTTGTCAATTGTTGCTTATTGCAATGTTCCAAGGTTAGGCGATTGGGTGGAATAGACAGAACCAATAGGGGTTCAAACATGGGTCCCAATATCATAATTTCATCCATTTTTGTCCTTTCATTTTTTCAGGTGTGAATTTATGTAGTTGAGTGGGTGGTTAGCACAATGAAAAAAAAAACTAGCCTTTTTCATGTTATTTTAATAATTATTAAGAATTATCCTAGATTTTTTTTTTTCCTTCTTACTTTCGTTTCTCTTGAGACGATAGATGGCTTATTATTGCACTTTCGGTTTTTAGTGTTCAAAGTGTTCCCACGTTTCAATTTTTTGAATTTTCATCCATATTTTCACGTTTTATTTTAGAAAATATTGTTTTATCAATTTTTTATCTAATATCTCAATAAAAATATATGAAATGACGAATATACTATTATATTTAAATAAAAGAAAAAGAAAAATAAAGAATTAATTGCAAACATACTTCCAAATCTTTTTAAAAAGTGTAAATGACTTCCAAATAAATTATTAAAAATTCAAAATAAAATAAAATCGTTTTTTTCTCTCTCTCTCCTCCTCCACCACCAAACAATTTCTAACAATATACTCCAAATCGATATTCCAACAATCTAAGTCGATACTACATTATACTCCAAAATAGTAAACAATTTGCCAATAAAACTTTGTAACAAAATTTGCCAACATGAAATTTTGTCAATTCTTGGAACATGAACCAACCCCATAAACCAAAATTTTTACTATAAGTAACGAAAAATTGAAAAACATATATCTCTGACCCTCTCTTCCTTCACATCCTTCTCCTCCACCATCACCACTACCACAACCACCACCACCACCACCACCACCACCAAACAATTTCCAACAATATACTTAAATTAGAGTTTCAAACCAAAGCCGAAGATGGGGTTTGAAGATATTGATCCTGCCTCTGACCCTTGCTTGCCTCGATGGCTTTGGTGGAGGAAAATTGAGGCGAACTTACTATGCCCCTGTTTGGTTCCCATTATTTCCTCATTAAGATGAAAAATATGACCGTGATTCATCACATCAAGCCACCAAATTTGAATTTCTATCTCTTATTTAGGGCCCCTAACAACTATATTTTTCATTCTCATTCTTTCAAAAATGAGAAACAAACGGGGGTTATATTTAACTTATGCCTAGCACGTGATGTGACATATCATTTCATTTGTGGATAAGTTGATAGTGGATCTCAAGATTTGAATTAAATTTTATTATTCACCAATTAATGGATTGACGTATCATGTCACAAACACTTACTATCAGTATTTAGTAGATCATTTTTCTGTGAAAAATAAGAGGTCAGGGTAATTTCTAATTAAATGCAATTCAAACATCATAGGATAAATATTAATGTAAGAAGTCTCAATCCTTGGAAAAATATAGTAATGAAATTATGCATGACATGTAATGCTTATCCAAACAGTACGTGATGACTATATTAATCCAACTACGAATTAATTAACTAGCCCGATTTATTTCTTCATAATATACAGAGCTTACTTAATATATATAAATTACTTTAAAATCGTATAGATTAAACGAAAGATTAAAGAAAAAGTATTTGACAAAATTTTTAATATTTTTTCTCATTTAATTTAACAAACCTAAATGCATGTCATTAATTATAAAACGTAATTAGTTTTACATAACTATAATTATATGTGCGTGTTCTTCATTTTTTACTCGAGCTTGAGATTATTATTAAAAAAGAAAGAAAGACGTACGAATAATGTCTTAGACTATAGAAATTTTTCTATGAATAACTAAATATTTTAACTATACTAGATTTTACGAACAGACAAAGGGCGCGTTTGTTTCTCATTTTTGTAAAAATGAGAATGAGAAATGTAGTCGTTATAGGCTCCATACAAGAGATAGAAATTCAAATTTGGTGGCTTGATGTGATTGATAATGGTCATATTTTTCATTTTAATGAGAAAAGAATGAGAAACAAAAAAGGGCAAAAAAAAAAACTATTAGGGAGTACAATAACAATATTTGATGACTATCAATGCAAAACCTATTTGAACTATGAATTTTTTTAAAAAATAAATAAATAAATTCAATGTGCCGATAAATTTGACCTATGACTAACAGAAATTCCGTAAGTGATAAGAACAAATATTTTCGTGGTTAAAGCCATGTTTTTCGAAAATTAAATTGTTGGAAAAATAAAAAGTAATGTGGAGAATTAATTCTTGCAATGATGGGATGAACTGTAAACAGCTAATACGTTGACATGTAATCTCTTCTCCACCCGCAAAGTGGGAAACTTTTGAAAGCAGAATCAGTTGTTTTGTACAATGGATTTCACGCCACAGAAGAAAATAATCTTTTGACTTTGAATATTTCTTTCTTCAATAATGGGAATAAAAAAGGTAATTAATTTTATTAATTTAATATATTCTTCATTAATATAGTAGACATCATTACTGCTTCTTTACTAATATAATGCATAGCATTAATATGTAATTAATTTTTCCACTTGTCAGTTGACGTGACCATAAAAACCCAGCCTGGATTCTACTGGAAACCGGTCCATCCAGACCATTAATCGGGCTAGATTGACTAATGGGGATTTAATTCGATTATGTTTAAGAAGGATTTAGAATGCGTGCATGGATATAAACAAGAAACTTCGAGAAAACTAGTGTTTTTTGAATTATATGAAGTCGGTGAGCAAAAGGTGAATCGTACCATGTAATCCTTTAAAAAGTTCCGAGTGGATTTTGATACCCAATACACTATATATAATTCAAATTTTGAGTAGTTTTATCGAGATCCGAAACAAATTAATCAAGAAATAGTAACCTCAAATAAATTGACTACTTGCTCGGTTGACCAGTCAAACCAAGTTGGACCATTTTACCGAAAATTATCTTCTCAAACTATGCATTGAATCTCGTACAAGAACTCCATGTTGTTGGCTTTTTTTTAAAATCACTACACACTGTTATGTGCGTTGCACGAATTGTATTTATCGTATTTTTATTAGCATATAAATTTTAGTTTTTTGGAAAGTTTTTGAAATAATATCTAGAAATATTTCCATGATATGAGAAAATAATTGTAAATTATTTTTGCAATTGCATAATAGTATTGTGTCATCTAGAAAAAATATGTTTATATATTTCATGCTTGAATAAGAAATATACGAGGTTATACAAACTATTTTGCATGTATTCTTTGATAGTGTTGATATGCTTGAATTGAATATGAAGATTATATTTTTAAATTTTGTGTAATTCAATATTAGAAAATTGAAAATTGAGCACAATATTCATATGCATTTATATTTTGTACTTCATATATTTTAATATTTATTTTTATGCTTATGCTGAAAAATAAAAATCTGAATTTTTTTTGACATTCGGTTTGGTAAGTGGATGTACGATGTTCTGCATTCTCAGTATTTGTAAGTGTAAAAATCGGCATATGAAAATACGGTAAGCTGCAAATATGGTAGGTAGCATATACGATAAGCTGCAAATACAGTAAGTTGTTTGTAAATACAATAGGCTGCATACGGTAAGCTATAAATACAGTAAACAACATAAACGATAAGTTGCCTGCAAATACGGTAAGCTGCGTATATGGATTGATAATTTATTATAAATGTATAAAATTTATTTAATATTGAATTTCTTAAATACTAAATTTTGTAATTCAGAGGGTGTTTGGTAGGAATTTTTATGTGAAAATGCATTTTTGAATAGTAAATTGATGGGAAATGTGCGGTTGAAAAATAAGAAAAAGTTTTTGATTTACGTGTAATATTATTTTAATAAAGAATGTGTGGTTGAAAAGAAGAGAGAGAGAAAAATGCATTTTGATAAAAATGGGTGTCAAACAGGGCCTCAATTTTGTTTCTTTTTTTATAAATGTATTTTCGGGAATTAAAAAAAAAAGGTGGCTATGAAGTTGTTAATTTTTAAATGAATTTTTTTTGTTGAATATAAAAATAATTTTTTTTATACTATTTGTAAAAAAAATTATTATAATTTTATTAGCGTAAAAAGAATATTTATTATGCATTTTGTGAAGAATTTTGTTTAAAGTGATTGACAAATTTTCTTCCACACACGTATCATGCCATCAGCATTAAAAAAATAATAATAATTTTAGTATATATAAACTCCATGAGACAAAAAAAAGACTCTTCGCACGGTGCGGAGGGATGGTAAACTCTCTCTCTCTCTCTCCACACAGTACAAAAAGAAAAACAAAAACTCTTGCACTGTGCTGAGAGATGGCACTCTCTCCACACTGTGCAGAGACTCTCCACACTGTGCGGAGAGATGGCAAACTATCTCTCCGTATTGTGCAGAGAGACATTTCTCGCGGAGAGATTTTCTCTTTTTTTTTCTATTTCCGAAAATACAATTATATAAAAAGAAAACAATATTGAGTTACAACATTTAGTACTTAAGAAATTCAATATTAAATAAATTTTATAAATTTATAATAAATTATAAATTGAAGTGTATGTAATATACCGGAATTTGCCATTGTCGTCTTAACTACTGCGCCCATGCCACAGATCACAATTATGCTGATTTTTTTGTCCTTGAGAGCATCCATGATTTCCTTT